CTTGACGCCGATACAATCGATGCAAGATGAATTTGTATGCGCCATGCTCTGAAAGTGATTTGAGTAAATCAGTGAATTGAAACGCATTTTACATTGATGCTCGTGCTCAACACGCCCGTTTCACTTCTTTCCATTGTTAATATTACTGCAGAGGCGTGTCTTACATTTTGGGTGTGGCAAGATTGCTGAATTCTGTTCGACTCCTTCTTCCAAAAATGCGATGAATATTTATGAAGGGCGCATTTTGGAAAAGAAATACAAAGCAGAGATGGCAAATTAATTGGCACAGGTTTACACTGTGTAGCTCAGCACCAATCAGCAAACGCGCAGTTAACTCTCTTAGCTACAGTTACCTCAACTTCAACGCATATTGGTCATATACGAATGCCACTCATTTGAGTCCGCCGAATTTGAGCTGCAATTAAGCTTATGATGTTAAAATACTGCGTACATATTTATTAAATATCGAAGCGAATATTACAATTTTTCAGCAGAAGCGGGCAAGCAGTTCCGGCTCTTTTTATTAAAAGTTCTATATTTTGGCATTAAACTCACGACTTTAATGCAACCAATGACTTTTTTAGATTACTCCGAAGAAGACAAATATTATTGGCAAAGTTGTAAGTAATGAAAAGATCAAGAACTTTTGCAATACCCTAATTTTCAATCAAAAATTCTCAAACTTAAATATCGGATCTTTTAAGGTCATTAGCCGTTTTTTTCGTTGAACTCCCAACTTTCTGATTGTATTAAAAAATATATACATTACTATCGTAAATTTTCTCAGAAAATGTAAAAAAAAACTACACCAAACTATTCGTAAATTCTTTTCTGAATCCGCGAAAATTCAACCAGTTCGCTCCCCTTCATCCTCCAGACCTAAGATCGCTCGTAAGAAGTCTTTGAAAATGGTAAAAATTAAAAAATCATAGTAGGTTGAAACCCATTGGAAAAAGGTGCTGGCCTACTAGAAGATCATTTGCTTTTCGATGTTATTATTTTTGTTAATTTGAAGTTTCGAACGCTTATTCGTCAAAATGTGTTTTTGTACTGCAGAACAATACAGAACTTCATCTATTAGGGACCGAATGGTAGTGGGCGATCAAGGGGCCTTCGTGAATAGAGCTCAATCTGTCAACGGGGGAATGACACACATATACGTATATTTTTTGAGTGGGAACGATTTTTGTTAATGCGTTCCAAGAGTTCAGATTGCCAAAATAGAAACGGGAACGCCCGAAACAACGAAAGAGAATAGCTTCGAAATCAGACGGTGAAGAAAGCGTCGGACAACATCGTCGAAAGTAACATATATGGCGATTGGGTGGCTTTGAACTTTGAAAGAAAAAATGTCAATTGTAGAAATCCACTTTTTGAGCAGTCACTGTAACTGATTAAATTCTATAGTACCTATATGTACATATGTATTGGTTGCTCGTCTGCAAATGTTCGTCTGCGTAATGTGCGTGAAAAATAGAAAAAAGCAAACACCACTAAATTTCCGTTGAGAGGAAATTCAAAAACGGCTGTGGCATTTTGCAAAAGCTTTCCACAACGCCAGACGCTTGCTGCAAGTGAAATATTAAACATACATACCAATCACACTATACACACACCAACACATGCTTAATAAAATCTAGTTAGGAACAACTGTGCGAATGACAGTCGATGTCGGAAGTAAGTGTGGAGCAGGGCCAGCGAATATTTTTTTTCTGTAATTCTAACTATATAAATTGATATTTCTAAGGTTTATTCACGAGTGTCCGTAGTACAAGTATATCGATATATTCATCATCGATAAAACGAAACTTCAATTTAGAGTTTCAAGGCAAATTTCACCTCTTCACATCTTAGAATTTTTTCTAAAACAGAAATAATCGAAGTCAATTTAAAACAAGAAAAAACGTAAACCTCCTCTGTAATACCCTTCACAGGTGCATTTCTTATAGCTTAGAAGGGTATAAAAGATTTTTATTCTTTGTTTGATCGCTAGTTTTAATGACCGCTATATGCTATAGTGCACCGATCTGAACAATGTATTCGGAGACTGTAAATATGCCTTGGGTTATAATCTCTGCATAATTTCGTAAAGATATCTTACCAAATAAAAATGTTATCCATACAAGAATTTATTTTTGATTGTTCACTTTTTATGGCAGCTATATGCTTTAATTGTTCGATATCGACGGTTCCGACAAATGAGCAGCTTCTTGATGGGCAGACGGTCACGGCTAAAGCGACTCAGTTCATCAAGCTGATCATTTAGAGATACATGTGATCTATAGGCTCTCCGAGTTTCCTCTTTGGATGCTACAAAAATCGTGGCAAACTTAATATACCCTATTAAGGTATAAATATCGATAAAATAGTCACCGTTCTAAATATTGATGTTGCTTTTATCGAGTTAGTAACCGGAAAATCTTAATGGTCCTAGTTCTTAAACTGCCTCTCATTAACAATAGTTTCTCTGCAGATATTTATTAGTAATAAAAGTTCATGCCGAAGATCTTCTTAGTTGAACGAGTGAACCAGGGACTATTATTCATTGCTTCAGATCGCCTGTTTGCCGAACAGAAATAAGCCTGATTGGGTATTATTTCAGTTTTTGCTCCACTGTTCTAGATGCGTTCGTTGACCAGCGAATTTATATACGAGAGTTTAAGGATCGAATTGTGGTCCATAAATGATCTCATCCAATAACTTACACGATTTATGTTATTTATCCTGAGTCCCTATTCAATCTGATATTCATTATACTAAGAGAGAATATAACTGGCCACAACTAATACTAATTGTACAATTAAGGGAATTGCACTCATTTTGCCATTTAATTGAGTAATTAGCTAATTAAACAATTAGTATTTAATTGACAAAAAATTAAAATCTCTTAAGACAGCTTCAGCGCTTAAGCTAAATTGTTGGAACACGAACAGTTAATTTTCTTTATTTATTGCCTCAGCCAATTGACCTGTTTGAAAATAGTATGAGTTGAGCTGTTGGAGGTTTAAGACACCTTGCGATATTTTAGGCCCACTTATCGTAGTTTAAAAAGATAAGTCAGATGAATTTTGTTTATCCTTTCGATTGCTTTTAGTTTTAGAAAAAATTACCGATAAAATAGTCTCCAGAAGGTCTCTAAGAACGGTGCTTACTTACTAAGAGTTTATTGCCGCTCTATCCAGCTCACGCAGGAACCTTATAGAACAGTGTCTTACGATTTTTTTTTCCATATATTGCTAATTTATCCGCCGGGTTTACAAACATAGTATTGTTTATTTGCATTGAATGCAGAGTAATTGAATGACATTATTAAATCGCCGTGGCGGTTCTTCCGCCCCTTTTGTTTTCGCTTCCAGCCAACTACGCGACATGTTGCTGCTTTTGTTGATATAGAGTAGAGCAATTATACATTTACACATGCTTTACCCTGTTCAGTTTACACTCGCACACCGTTATAGATATATGTACAATATATACGTAATAAACAACACATATGCATAAAAAGGCTTAATTACTGTTTTATTGTCATTTAATTGTTGCTTTTAATTTTAATGCTTATAATTTTCCATATTACTGCATATTTTCGAAATTATACAACAATAAACAGTCGTCAGTACGTTAATGAAGTAGTTGCAATGACCCAGCAAAGGTATGACATCAACGACTGCAGGTTTCAATCTCTTTAAAAGTCAGCGCGGTGTTCAAACGTGGAAAGTTTGACAAGAGAGACAGGCTGATTATTCCCAGAGCTCTCTAAAATAAGAATTATAATTATGCTTACCATGTATGTTGAAAGGTTCGCGTTCGGAAAGAGAGCCCTAACAGCAAAGATCAAAATGTCACTTAGAATTATCAATTTTTAAAACACCCAAATACGTGTTTGAAAAATGAAAGAGTGACTATAAAAATTTATAATTAAAATTCGACTTCTAGGGCCTTCAATCTAGACAGGCATACCCATTAATCATGATCTTATACTCTACAGGCTCATACCCACTAAAAGTGACAAATTCTTTGTTCAAAGAAATGTTGAAGAAGTAATTCGAAAGAAGAATTTTTTAATCAATACAAGGATGTCTCACTTAAGAGATGTGTATGTGAAAGTAATTACCACTGACTGAAGAATGTCATATGACACACACCACTCCGTAACTACAAGTACTAACGATTGGTCAACGTTTGCTGGTCTCATTTGGGATATAACTTTTATGAGCATACTACAGGAGGAGAAGCGAACTTCCTTATGAACCAGCCGTTCGCGATAGTGAAGAAGCAAAATATACACCTTTTTCGGTTTATTCATCTTTCGGATGGCAGAAAAGATTTCACCGCACTTTTTTCACCTCTTAGTAGAGTGATTAAATAAATTAAATAATAAAGTTGACTAGAAAAATATTAAACGTTAGAGATACCTATCTTATATTTCATCATTCCTATAAAAATGTTCGACAATTTAATATCGGTTACTAAGTTTTTAAACTTCTATCTATTCTAGATTTCGGTGAGATTAATATAAAAAGCTTGATTAAATATCGAAATTATTTTTATTATTATGGTATTCGAGAAGAAAAGACTAGACATTTATCTATTAACGAGTTAGGTTCAGAATCTGATCTGACCTTGTCGATATGTTCTAGGAACTCCAAAGCGCTACATTATTACCGGACTGAGACTGGGCAGTAGCTGAGACTCACGTGAGTTCAACGTTGAACAGTAGTCAGTTCCGACGAGGTCGCGAGATCTTTGGACACGTGGCGAAAGACAGGAAGTATGGAAACCACTCACAAAGGTTGGTTGCTGTCCAAGCGGAGGCCAAGCGGTAAGGCTGTATCAACTGTCTGATAGAATTTATTCTGTACTTCCTTTATGAAACCAGAATTTCGCTGCATATAAGAGGCAATAATTTGTGCAGAAAAGAAAATATATATAATGTGTATGGGCTCTATAATGGAGCTACGTCGTCGGACCTTTCCGATTTTAACAAAATGTGATTGAAAATATTTATTGAGTCTTCATAAAGTTTTTATTTAATCTAGACTAAGTATATAATTAGCGTGCAATGCATGGGATTAAAAAAATGAGTTATATCTTTGCTTTAAGATAAAATAAATTCGATCAATTGAAACTTTTATTTCAAACTCGCACCCTTTCCTTTTCCTTTTTGGACTATTCCATTTCGCTCCCTCTCGCTATTTCTTATCATTTGGATATTGTTGTAAAGCCGAAAAGTAAAATAGTAAACAAGTTCAATGAGACTCAAAATGCTGGCACCTAAAAATAGTCCCAATATACCGCCTATACTGACCACAACATCTAAACGCGTACGTAACGCTTGGCGACGATAACGCTCCGTGGGCCGGTCAACCAGACTGATCGCAACACTGCGCTTGTCATTACCTTTATGATTGCTGCGATATACGAATAAATGAGGCATAAAATATTACATTTTTAAGAGACCAACGACGCGCTACACACCTCGGACTATACTCGGAAACCGCACGTAAGTCGTGTTCAGTGCACGACGGCAAGCAGTCACACGTTTCATTATTTTCCGGCCATGGCAGCAATAATTTAATATCGGGCGCGACCTTCGTTTCCTTCTCCAAGCATAAAATACCTTTATAATCACAATCGGGTACATCGGCACGCGCTGTCGGCATTAAATTGAATATCGTGCAATTGCAGTAACGCATTTGCAATGCGCCAATACAATCGACAATACAGGCACTGAAGCTGTAGACGCGAAACGATGACCGCGGCATGATCTCCTCAGGGAAGCGGCAACCGCGATGCTCTGGTGACACTTCGCGCACATCCATGTCGTTAACCATTTCCTGCACAGATATTTGAAGGTCTGTATGTTTGCCTGGTGTTGCCACCTTTGTTGTAATACCAGCTAGATTGGCGTAAGGTATGTCCTCCTTGTTGAGTACGAAAACCTGTGTGAAATATATGCATATAAAAGAGTCCCTAATGTTTGATATCTAGCATACCTCGACTGCAACATCGGTAACCAGGCGCATTGTGGCATGATTGTCCTCTACCTCATTCGGAAACCAATATTTGCTGTCGCTGTTGTGACAGAAAGACTAGGCGTAAAATCACAGTGACATTTTGAATATAAAATCTGATATGAAAGCAGATAAAAGCTGAAGATTTCTTAATATTTTCTTATATAGTTATGTAGCCTATTATGTTGCTGTAGTTTTAATCCTAATATTAATAACTATTCTCAATGTCTATAGTACTTTTTTCACTTTACTCGGAGATCTGAACTATACTGCTATTTCATAGCTCAGCATAGTGCTGCTTAGGGATTCCATTTTATTTTATATCACTATGGATAGAGAGACGAGGTTTTCCACAAGAATATACGGAAAGAGACTGTTGCATGTACATGTTCCTACATTTAAAATTATTAGAATTAGAATAGAAAGCAGACTCAAGGAACAATCTTAAAAACCGCAAATTTTTCTCTTCACATTTACCAACAAAGAAATATTTTCCCAAAACAATATCAAGAAGATTTATAAAGTTTAGGCACAACGTATTACCAGCGCTATTAACTCCACTTTCGGCGTCATTTATAATATATCGGCTATTTAATCTAGTTCTAATAACCAAATTTATTGAGTTAGGTACAAATAGTACGCGCCCTTGGTCTACATATAGGCAGTTGCTGGAGAATTATATACTCTTTATGTTCTCTTGGAGGAGGGAGTTAGTGCGGGAAAATATTGTTCGGAAGTAGACGTAACTTACGGATGATTATTTTGCCTCGAGTTTAAAAGAAAACAGTAACCATAAGGTGTAAGTAGTGGCACAAAGTAGTGACAGCAGTTGAAGGCCTTGTGTCCGAGTGAGCATTCTACTAAAACGTTGGAGCAGTTCTGATGAAGCTGAAATTCATTTAGTTGAGATATTTTTACAATTGGCATTTTCATTAGATTTTTATGTTACATAGACGTTAATATAATAAGTAAATACCTTCTCTGTTAGTTCCCTGTAGTGGGTATGTGGGCACTCAGACTCAGTGCCCTCCTTATCGAAACAATGTGCTCTAGCATTGCCGGTGTTGTACTCATGTGGGAATATTAGTTTTAAGACAAAAATTTCTATGTCATAGTCATACTCTTCGGGGTAACTGATTTAAAAAAAAAAAACACGATTATAGAGATGTTTATGGCATGTCAATGGGTAAAAATGTTTTGATGCATGAAAAGAACAAATAAAATATAGCGAATGAAATCCACAATAATATGTTTAAAATGGCATAAGACAAAGATTTATTGAATGATTTTGCAAAATGACTCTCAATAATATATATTATTTTTCAGCCTTATTTCATAAATCGCTTACTCGTACTCTCGGTGCGAAAGCAAGATTCTCCCATATGAACCTATTGGTTGCCTTGGTGATGCAGAATTTCTTTGTTGAGGACTATTTCACTTATTTTGAGGTTATCGACGTGAAGGGCAACTTTTGCATTTTACATCGCTTAATTTTCGGCGGGTAGGCCCACTAAAGTCTGAATTGAACCACTGCTGTTTTAAATATAGTTAGTTCGTACCGTTCGTAGGAAAGAGCTGCATTCCCATTGTCTTCCAGCGTTCTAAACCCAGATCTATGAACCTCACGTGAGCATAGCAAACGTTGGCCGACGAGCAGCTCCTGTGCGACCGCAAGAACCTTCTGTCCTAGAGCAGAGCGCAGAAGATTCACTAATCGACTTGCTCTCACTAATGTTCTTCTTGCCGCAATCAAAGAATTGGATATTGTCCAATAGGCATCCAAGCATTTTCTACTCCATTAACTAACTAGCAACTAAATGAGTTTTGGCTACCTCTCTGGGTTTGCGAAAAGTATGATTGCCGAGATGTTTCAACTTCAATCTTGCAGAACTTCATTAGCAGAAGGACCCTTTTTGCAAAACTGCGGTTGAAACATCTCGGCATACTTTCAGAAAACCAAAAGGCATAGCCGATAGGCGTCTCAAGAAATTTATGGTAGACTCAAAGCAATTTGTCGAAATATGACCGATTGTTTGATAACTATTTAGGTGTTCTAGGATGTTCAACATTTATAAAATTTGTAAGTTTTTAGTTTGTAAATCAGTTTTGTAATCTAAATATGAAACGAAAGCTGAGAAAATGAGACGCATGCAAGTATGTGGTTGATTAAGCAAAATATTGCTGATAATTGCCGGAGTTTATGCTTTCATTCGTGTACAAATATCATATTTACATTCATCAGCGCTTGCACAAACAGCCCATGGTTTGAATTACTAAATGCAGTCTGTACAAAAATGTAGTTTGTGTCTTCTTTCATACTATTTCACGCTAATTGAGCTTTTATGTAAACAAATATGATATGATGCGAGTAATATGTATGTGCTTTTATTTGTAATGAGAAAACGTACGTACGTGCTACACGCAGATCCACGCAAGGCAGGGAGAAGATAAATAAATATGTAGATATTTATATCCAGATCTTATAACTCATCTTGACTGTAAATTACATATTTTACATTACAATATGGTACATTTCAACAAGCTAAGTACTAGAAATATTTTTCCCATCAAGGTAATACAAGCAAGAAAAAAGTTTTATGTAACTTCGGTTGCACCAAATTCTCAATTCAAGGAAGTTTTCATTCACGAACTTGATTTTGATCGCTCATTTTGTATGGCAGCTAAATGTTGTATATGTAGTCTGATAAGAAGCTTCTTGATGATAAAAGGGAGTGTGCAAAATTTCAGAGCGATATCTCAAAAACTGAGGAACTGCTTCGCGTATATACAGACAGACAGACAAACAGATGAGAAGGACATAAATCAACTCAGCTTGTCACGCCGATAACTTATATATACATATATCTTTTATGGAGCCTCCGACGTTTCGTTTGTTCGTATAAACTTTAAGACAAACTTAATATACCTCTCAAGGTATTAAAATAGATTAAATGAAGAAAATTCCGTAAAGACAATAAAAACATTATTTTATACTATTCTAAACCTCCATTCAATCGTGTTTATCTAGGAGGTTATCCTAGGCTAGTAGCTGTGCAATTACAGCCATATTTATACCTTAAGCCTTGCGAAAGGTTAATCTCTCCAAACTATATATATTTTAAGAGAACACTACAAGCAATACTACAAGGATAGAACTTAACAGAGAACTCGACACAAGGTTTGACGTAATATAAGTTCTGGATCAAGAACCTTGCAAAAGAGATAATATAAACGACTTAAATGAAAAATGGACTTAAAGGGACTATTAATAGATCAAATAGATCTAAAATAGCAAAGTAAGAGGTTTTCTGAAATTCACCAGCTCCTAAATTCAAATAAATCAGTAGTTAGGTTATTTGAATAACAGATCATGAGACCAAAAAATGCCTACCCTTACGAAAAGGTACGAAAACATAAGATCTTTCGTCATTATTTTAAATATCTTAACAATGTCATAAAGCAGGTTCAGTCAGGTTTAGAAATGAAATCGACTGCGAAACCTTGGCTCAAAGTCCGAACAAATTCAGGCTCACGAATTGCAGAGCACAAATTCAAAGATTTTGAAACAGGAAAATATTCATTACCTCATTAAGAGTATAAACTGACGGATCTACCCGAGAAAAAACGGATCCTTCAGATTTTTAAATCCGACACAATTATAGTTTTATAATACACTTTGAGTATTCTCTATTCTAGTATTCTAGTAAAGACTGATATATGTTTGGTTAGATTAGTCTGGTAGGCTAATTAGCCTCGCATAGACAAGTTTTGGTCCTTTGCAATACCAGATGGAGTTTCGTTATGAAGTCCATGAGAAGCAGTTATCCTTAAGATGCATTTGACGCGAATTTCAACAGGCTCTGTGGGCTCACTAACGATATCTCTTCAAGTGTCTCATATCGTGGGACCATGTAAGAAATCTTAAAGTCTAGCCAATGCGGAACAAGTGCACAAGAGATGCTCCATTGTTTCCCTGGCGCCTTGCTCTTGACATTTTCTGCAGCCTGTCAAACCCATTCTGCAGGCGTATGCCGCCACCAGACTGTGACCAGTGAGTATTCCAATTATATCCAGTCCCTTCGATTGAGTGCCAGTAGGAATTTTGTACATTTTCGTTGTACCGTTTTACACACGATTTTTGCAGTTTTGCACCCAGGAAAAACGTTTCATCGCGTTTTTAGTTACGTTGCCAATGACTTACATAATAAGATAGGTATTTTTTCAAGTCCTAATTCAAGCACATTTTTGAAAAGATAATGCTACAGATATATAATTGAGATTCCTATAGTTAAAATACGTAATCCTCTAATCAGTACTATGATTATCACATTCAGAAAAACCCGAAAATCTGAAGTTGTCGGAAGCAAAATTCTCTTACCTCTCAATATATTGCTCCACCGCTGGGGTGGTGCCATCCTTTTCCAATGTCTCACACACGGCCACGCTGGGAAAATAGATTTTGTCATACGGCGTTAAACTCTCGAAGACAATGCTGACAGCTGATAATTCAAAGTCGCGTTCGAATGTTGAAATGAGCTTGTACGAGCCATAGGCGGAGATTATGAAGCAAAAGAGCCAGAAAACGCGTTCACTAATATGTAATCTGCAAATGAAAGAAACGCAATGATGAGCACAAAACGGATTAGAGTAAGTATATGTGTATAAAAATGCAGTTGTTTAATGCATGCGCATTTCACAGAGAGGAAATGAGTAGGATATGAATTATGCTAATGCTAAAGAATGAAATGAACTATGAGCTTTGCCACTTATGCGGAGACAGACGAATTGCGCTGCGCAAGACAAAAGCAGATGTGACGGAAGAACGTGAATTGACAGAGCCTAAGGCGTTACGTGGCAATGCAATCTGAATTATGCATGTCCTTGGCAGCATTTATGCGCTATGCAGTGCTATGTATAAGCAGCGAAGTACATAGATGAGCATGCAGGATTAAAGCAACAAACCTACTTACTTGTTATTGGCAATGTAGCTGATGCCGGCCAAGGAGCAATTAGCGCAGTAGTCGCGCAAACAGGCGAGCAGTGGCCAGAACATAACTGCTCTCCGATACTCTTAGTTGGCCACAAAAGCGTGATAAGTTGGCTGGCTCTAGCTTGCTGATAGGCTGAGGTTGCTTCCGAGGTGCAAAAGGTACAAGCTCGTTGATAGGCTGAATCGGAGGCTTGCAAGTCGAGCGTTTGGTTGGTTGATAATTCGGTTGCTTCGTTAACTGCTCGCTGACTAAGTGCTGTGTACTGAATGTAGCCAAGTATGGCGCTCGAGTGCCACTGCAGCTTTCCGCCAGCAAACACTACAATAGATTGCAGTAATAAAGTTTCCTACGGCTATGCATACATACAAGTACATATATGCATGTTGAATTGTATAATTGTCATCTTTGCAGTATGTATGTGTGATTGTGTGTGTGTGTGTCTGTGTATTGTCGACCACAAGTGGAGAGCATTTAATTGCTGTTTCCTTTTGCGTTCACCACAAACAAAGCGGACAAGGATAACGTGAAATAGCGCAGCACTCGCTACGGCAACCACATGCCACTAACAACAACAACAACTGCCGTAATGGCACTCCAGGCAGCGGAGTATGCAACAGTGTGACAATTTGATGAACATTTTAACTGTAAATGGCAATATTAACACTGTGCATATGGAGAGTAGGTCTGAGTATCTCTAATACTATGAGTACAATACTTAAATGAGCTTTAATCTGAGTATTAATATCATTTTGATAAACAAAGTGTGTAAGTACCTGTTAACATTCGAAGCACTACGTTCTGGCAGCGCTCTGACCTTTTCAGATACAATCTACTAGTGTTAATTCTGAACACTATAACAGATTATCGTCTTACAGGTTGTTTACCAAGTCGTATGTGAAATTACTTTCCAATATAAAAGAATGATTCAGAATTAGTTGACAATGCTAGAGCGACAGACCTTATGAGCTCCTGAAGTATGGAAATTTCATTCACTGCACTATTATTTAGCTCTACAAGCAACTTAATCTTGTCGAGTAAAGAAATTTCAAGTCCGTCGTTTCTGAATTGAGATTTGGCTTCATTGCGTCAACGAAAAACTTTTTAGTTTCTTCGAGTAGTCTTTACGGGAAAACTGTAGTATGGTCATCGATTGGAAGTTTGTCCTTTAAAAAAAATTTTGCTTTATCTAAGACCACCACTCTTTTGGATAAGTCTTCCATATAAAATTCGAAATGCAGTAAATGCTTATTTTACGGCAATTTGGGGAGATTTTGAAACCTTTTATATACCAGTTTAATACTTATCATTTACGCTCGATACCTTGCATAGTTAGCTTATTTATGGATGATATCATGAACTTTCAAGCATTTTTATACCCTAAACAGGGTATATTAAGTTCGCCACAAACTTTGTAACACCCCAAAGGAATAGTCGGTGACCCTATAAAATAAGTATATAAGGGATCAGCATGATGAGCTAAGTCGATTTAGCCATGCCTATCTGTCTGTCCGTCAGACTGTCCGTCCGTCTATCTGTTTATATGTGAACTAGTCCCTCAGTTTTTAATATATCGATCTGAATCTTTGCACCCGTCCCTTTCCTTTCAAAAAGCTGCTCATTTCTCGGAACCGCCTATATCAGACCACTATAGCGTATAGCTGCCATACAAACTGAATGATCGGAATCAAGTGCTTTTATGTTAAGCTTTTTCATTTTTTCATTTTTCCAAATTTGGCATGAGTTGTTGCCTAAGACATCTGTACAATATCCCAATAAATTTTCTAGATTTGATAACCATTGCAGATATCTTCCATACAACAAATCATATTCAAAATCAAGTTCATATAGGGAATATTTTTTATTTGTAAAGGTTATTATTTAGTATTTATCAACTTACTAGCTGTTCCTTCCAGCCTCTCGGAATATCGAAAACCTCTCTGGTGGCGCTATAGCTAGTTTAATAAATAAATTCTTGCAATTCTGGATAGCTTTCTCCAGCATTTAGAGAGCGTATCTAATACAAATTACTAGTAGTTCGCGCGATTTCCACGACATCAAACTTGAATTTGCAGTTAACTTTGCAGCAAGACCTGTTAGTAAGCTTTCAATATAAAATGTAATGCATTTTTCTTCACCGTGTAACTACTGTGTCGCCGCACAACAACCTTGTGCAACAAACCAGGCAACACAGCAATGCATTCACGTGAGAATTGCAATTAATGTTGAAATATTTTGTATGTCAATGCTGCATATATAACAGGAAGCGCGCCAGTTGTTGTCACTACAATCGCATTTGCAGTTGCAGTTACAGTTAGTGGTGGTGGTGCCCCAAACTCAAGCGTGTTGCTGTTTCCGCAAAATGCGGCCTTTATGTTTATGCAGCAGTGGCAGATTGTCTCTCATATTTTACAATGCCACAATATATGCTTGTATATATTAAATAAATAAGTTCCGTTATTTACTTACATGTATGTGCATCTATGTGTAGGGATTCTCACATGCATATACAGACCAAATACGATTAATTTATTTAACAGCAACAGAAAAACCATTGCAAGCACACGCAAGATAAGTACGAAGGAAAAAAAAAAACCCCATGGCGTATACGTAACACTGCAACAAGCGAGTTTTTGAGTGCTGCCAAAGTGTGAGTTAATGAATGAGTAGGGAAATGAATGAGTGCGCTAGTCAAGCGGATGTGTGATGTGTGGTGCTGCTAACGTACAAATTCCGCCACACACACACACACACACATGTATACTGTGTAATGCCCAACAACATGATAAGGTACTTAACGCTAGCTGCAATTATGCAATTAGACGCTGTTGTTTATTTTATACCAAAAACACTTAAAAGCAATTATTCCGCCAGCACGAAGACACCCAGAGAGAGAGGAGCCAACTACACATATACACATATATCACACGCATGTGAAGTAGTAATTTGTATGCAGAGGACAAGTTGTTGCCATAGTAGGCTTTAAGGGTGCTTGGTTATGCGGGCGAACAGCTGCTACGCTCCATTAACAGTTAACACATAAACAAACACACACGTAATTATAAGCGCGCGCATACACACACACACATATGCATCTATGTCCGTATTATGCAAATAAGTCACAGTCGCTTGGCACTAGCATAAAATGAGGAATTAATATGGATTTGTAAATTATTAATGAGCGTCGAAGTGTGTAATTCAGGCAGCGTGCATAAAAATATACAGATTATGGTGATGCTTAAATTTTTTGTGGTAGACCTCGTAGAATTTAGTAACTACGAGAAAGTTTCCAATTATCGTGATATACACATTAGAAAAGTTCTTAAGTCTACGAAAATACCTTCACTGTCACCATGATATACACATTAGGGTAGTGCTTAAACTTTTTTGGTAGATACGTATTAGCAACTACGATCCTTGCTGTAGTATAGAATTTACCACCAAATGACAGCAAGCATACCAGTGTTAATCACATTAGGGTGGTGCTTAAATTTTTTGCAATAGATTTCGTACGACTTAGTGACTACGAGAATATTCCCAGTTATAACTTGAGATATTACTGTCAACTGGCAACACCTCATACTAGTAAACATAAAGATGATATTTAAATTTTTAAAGTCAAACTTGCTTAACTCAGCGCCTACGCAAATATATTAAATATTTTTATACAAAAATTTACTCCCAACAGGCAGTACGTATAAATATGCACACATTAGGTTGACACAAATTTGTTTAAAAAAATATTTCGTTAAACCCAGCAACTTCGACAATATTTCCAGCCAACACTTAAAATTATTACTTGACAATTTGGTGCAAAACAAAATCAGCTTTGGTGCCATCCTAATGTTTAGTACATATGGAAAACTTTTAATTTCATTTTACTTTGTTACCACAAATGTATATCTTGATACACATTAGTACATATGTTGTCAAATGCCAGCTGGCAGTCGACGCATAACATTGTGGCATAACTTCTAAGCCAACTTTCGCTGCGCTTGGCAAGTAAGCAGTTGCCAAAAAAAAAGCTGGCAGCAGGCAACAATTGCCTCTTCGAATGACGTGACAGCCAAGCATGATGAATCTTTAATGAGACGCCTTTAAAGTGTGGTGCATGCTAAGGTTATGCTTAATGGCAAGGTATTAATAATAAATCTGCATAAGATTTAGGTGGAAAAATTGGCATCCTCTAACAAGTGCCAATCGATATAATTTTAAATAAATAAATAAAAATAATTTACAGTGTTAAATGTATTTAATAATTGGCGATTCATTCTGAAAAATTTTGGATTGCCTTGCATCCGTAGCTGATCTCCAGCAGGACCTCGGAAAAAGTCTGGTGGTGAGGATTTGTATTATTATTCTAGATGAGTACAGTTAATGAACTAAGGACTAGTTGATATTTAGTTTTTCGATAAAATGGCGCCTTCCCAAAAACAGACGGGTTTTATGAAGAAATTTACTTCTTAGAATGATCAAAAAATTGAAATTGTTTTAAACTTTGTTTTTATGTATTTCATAACTTTCCAGAGTGTAAATAAAGCTTTGTGGTTGCAAACATACTCGGATCTGAACAATTAGCTCGAACTTAATAAAGTGCAGGAACTTTCCGCGATCCATCTGTATATAGTCCAAAAATATTCGTCAAACCTAAGCAGATTTACGAAGGAGCCCTTTTATATTTGGAAACCAAAAACAGTTTTAAAAATTTAAAAATAAGTAATTGAAATATCCAAATAATAAAAATGTATATATTTTTCATTTTTAGTGTCACACAAGTTTTAAAGATAACTACTTAGTAACCAGAAAAGTATTCGCACATTCGAGAAAAATAACATTTTTAATTTATATATAAACCTTAAATGTGACATATTTAAACGACTATTGCACTTTATCGGAACTTTACGTCAACTACGTCAAATTCTCACACATTCGAACTTGGGCAATACGGTTAACCGAAGTTTACCCTTCTTGTTGTTGCAGTACATAATCCGTTGCTGCTGCTTTTGGTCAAACTTACCCACAATATGTCTGATATGGATCAACGTCAAAACGTTGCTTGAGCTTAATCTCTTCCTTAGTATTGAGTCGTTTATATTCGGCAAAAACTTCACCCTTAGAAGTGGTTCTTGGTGTTGGTTATTCTTAATGGTATCGCTACCTGAAACTTTGAACGCTACCTGTGTACCTCTTCGTGGTTCAAACAAGGATGCGTCGAATCGGTTTTGATGTCACCTTCTTCCTGAAAAGGCGGGCTGGCACTTGTTAAAGTAAAAATCTGTTCAGTAGTTGAGCTGATCTCGTATGAATTAATTGGGTTTGAAAGACTTTGTGTCTTTCATAATTTCAACAGTTGCTGTTCCTGTTCCATGTAATACGGCCAATTTTGTTTCACTTCATTGTATTGTCGCTTAGCTCAGCAATTTCCGTTATAATGTTGCCAATTACTTATTTTTTAGCTTTACGTATGCCCTCTTTCTGTAGACGCGTATCTAATTCCAGCTTTTAGAAAGGTTTCAGTGCCAACAAGTAGATTAGGCGTGCGATTCTTGTTTCTTATGTTTCTCATCCGTGTCATTTCGTTTACTTTCTTGTTTGAAAAAACTTTGGCTTTTCTCCTATTCATGCATTGTATGAAGAAGAGCTTTTGGAAAACGTTTGGTGTTCGCAATGTGATTGTCTTCCTGAATTTGGGTAAACGGCTCAAAAAAATGTTTCATTATGTTGAGTTGTTGAAATGAGTTTTGCGACTGGTTATATAATTTACGTGATGTTTCCCTAATACATTACTTTGAGGTTTTAGAGTCTGGTACACGCCTTTTTATACTTAAAAAACTCGACGTTCTTTCAGCTTTATCTACCTGCTACAGTTATCTGTTGTTTAAAAGGATTAGGTTGCTGGACGGGGAAATCTTTTGGTTCAGCTGTCCTACCTGCGTATACCTAAATTAACGGAACTTTTTAGATATCTATCTGTGGCATAATAATAAAATAATAATTATCTATAAATAGGAAGAATCCAAAAAGCAACAGTTTCATTGAAGGTAGAGTACTCACAAAACATTCTTGTTCTATAAACTTGATCCATATAATGTAGAGGACCTTAACAGGAGTTCTAGAATTATGCTGCGGGGGTACTATCCGATCGTTCAGTTTATATGGGAGCTATAGCTCGTCACGCTGATCAATTATATATATATATACTTTATAGGGTCTCTAGCGTTTCTTTTTGGGTGTTACAAACTTCGTGGCAAACTTAATATACTCGTATCCTGTTCAAGGTATAATTATTGTATATTTCAATAATTAGGCGCTACAAACACCCAAAAAGTGAACAAAGTCCATATCCTCTCATGCAACATTTTGTACAAAACTAAAGAGATAAGCAAAAATGTTTTTAAAGTATTGTAGTTAAAAAGCGGTTTTACATTTGATTTAGAATCCTCCCCGCATAAGTGAATCATTCTTCTCTTCTATGCTGGTATTGCAGTTTTTTTTTTTAAGTTTCGCTTTTCCTTCACAAGTGCAGTTGTGATTGTATTTGACGCTGAAAGTTTAGGTTAAAAGACTCCTTTATGTCATATTGCCCGCCCACTGAAACTTCTTTTTGCAGTGGTTACGAAATCTTCTCTGAATAGATCGATCATCTTATACTCCTTTCTAGCAGCTGGTGATGTCGACTCCGTCGGACTCTCCTTCTTATTTGACACGTCCATTTGGAATTGTATTTGTCACAGTAAGTTATGGTCTGAATGATTTGTTTTTATGTTTCCGGCCACCGGGAGCTCTTTTTGCAGGGGTTACAAACTCTTTTTCGAACAGATCGATCAATTCGATGTAAACATTAGCTTGATGAACGGCCACGGAAATGTGTTGTACTATCACCGATTTTGTTACCGATTGGGTTAGAGCTGACGACGACATGTTTACTGTTAGGGCCCATATTACTTATACGTCGCTTCTTTGATGCTGGTAAATATTCGAATTCCAAACTGGCTGTCACGTGAGCTGCCGTTGTTCGAATTGTGTGATGGAGTTGGATTTTGTGGCTTATTCCACTTGACTTGACTCTGCTCTTGATCAGTATAGAAGGGCCAATTTTCATTCACATTTCACGGCATGTGGCGTTGTTAGCGGTGCTGGTTGGTACGAAACGATTTCGGTCGATTTTGTGTCCAGGACAGGTTGTCAAAAATATTTAATGCCATGATTTGTCTTCAATGGAATAGCTTGTTTAATCTTCAAATGTGCTTCTTTCTCTAAGGAATTGATTTTGTTTTGAAATATATTTTAACGTTCGTGCTCTATGTAACTAATAAGCTTAGGTATATTTTAGACCTCTCTACCTGTTTTCAAAAAAATTGGTGTCAAAGCGTGTTAGTTCTTGTTCCTTCCTTTAATTTACCTGTTATTTTGTAGAACAGGCATATGGATAGATACAGGCCAGTTTTACGAGGGCTTAGGGTACATGTATAAATATTACCCAATTCAGGATAAAATAGGATGGAAAGCACCTAGGATGCTTCCCTTATTTTACCTGCTGTATCGTATAACAGGTATACGGATAGACAGAGACTAGTTTTTCGAAACCTTACGGTACAGTTATAAATTTAATCCAATTCAAGAACATTTCACAATGACCTCAAAACCTAATAAAAAGAAAGTATCCTGATTTACCCATATTCAAGCAAAGGTGAAGCTCTCGGTAGTGAAATGATTTCTGAGTTGAGAAACTTATAAACTCTGTCAAAGAGAAGCAACTCGAAAAACCATGATTTTCATAAAAAGAGATAGCGATAAAAGGATAGAGATAAGTTTTGCCATTCTCAAGTAGGCGTGATCTAATAAGATCGGCTAATACGAGACCATGGACTCATGTGTCGTCGTGCTCCGTGGTAATCGTTTTGCGGGACACCTGGGCGTGATCCATCAAAATTCGACAACTTTTAACGTTCTCCATCGAATTAGAAGAAAAACTAGAGATTTTCTCCAAGTTAAATGAAGTTTTTGCGTGGTTTAAAACACACACGAACCTAATCGGACTTAATATAGTATAGAAACTTTCAATAATCTCTTGAAAACATAAGTTGTTTTTTAGCCGTTACTGAGTTTTCAAATGGGCCAAATATTTTGCTTTAACATTTCGGAAACAAAAATGTGTATAAAAAAAATTAAATATCTTGAAAAAGAATTGATAGTAGCAGGTAAATAAAACATAAAGACCTTTGGTTAATTTTCGGTATAAAAGGATTTACAGCATCGAACTAGACTTTAAAACCGCAAAGCACTTTATTAGAGCAACACCACGTGATACTACATTACAAATCGCATTAAAATAATGAAAAGAATGGAAGATTCATATATATTGCTTACGCTATCCTCAATTCAGACGACTCAGAAACACGATGATATTGAGAACACCATATATGTTCCAAAAGCTCATCTCCATTCAACGCATGAAAAGGAGCAAAGAAAAAGTTTGAACGCAAACAAAAGTAACTTCACCGTTGAGAAACGTATGAAAAAGAAATCGTTGAAGGAGGATTCTAACTCGAGGACCAGTACTAAGCAGCATGATAATCTTATCGACTGCAAAGAAACTATTTCAAAATCGGGTGACGCTACAAATGTCGACAACAAAAAACGTAAAGCGAGCAATATAGCTAGTCGTGAAATACGCGAACGCCTCATCCACTTGTTAGCCTTGAAGCCTTTCAAAAAGCTTGAACTATATGCGCGTCTACAGAAAGAGGGCATACGTAAAGCCGAAAAATTGTTAATTAGCAACATTCTAACGAACATTGCTCAGCTAAGCAACAATGCTTACAATCTGAAGCACTGTATGTGGAATCGAGTGAATGAAAATTGGCCGTATTACACGGAACAGGAACAGCAACAGTTGACATTACGCAAGATCCAAAATCTAACAAATCCAATCAGCTCGAACGAGGTCAGCTCAACTTCTGATCAGATCACTGCTTCAACAACAAGTGCCAGACCGCCGATCCAGGAAGAAGCTGACTTCAAACCCGGTTTTAAGCGTTCTTGTTTGGACTACGAAGAGCCACAGATTTCGAAAAAGCGTCGTATTAGTCATGGTTCAACTGAGAATTGTCAGAAAACATACAAATCATCAAGTACCAATACAAATAGTAAGAATCACCTAAAATCAGCCCTCCAAACAAGTTTTGCAATATCCGGTAACGATACTTACAATAACCAAAACCAAGAACCATATGTCCAGACAACCTCCAATGAATCAACAGCTGAGCATCTTGTTATTGAAGAAATCGATACAGCAACCCCAAGCTATGACTTTAGTAATTACTTGAATATCCAAAGCATTGAACAGCGACGTCAATATAAAAATGACTTTGAGCGAGATTACGAAGAGTACTTTCCATTACGACAGCGCGTCGAAGAAGTGCGTCATATTTTCCGCGTACTGCACGAGCAATTGCAGAATGTACCTGAAGGATCTTTGGAATGCGAGCGTGTCAAGCATGAACTTATTGCCGAATATCAGCGTCTCAATAGTAAAGAAGAGATTGAGCTTAAGCGACGTTTTGACTATTTGGAGGCGAAGTTGATCCATATCAGACAGCTTGTGGATAATTTTGACGAAAGGCTGCTGGAGGAAAAAGCGGTGCAAGCTGCAGTGGCTGCAGCAAATGATTATATACTGCAACAAAAACAACGAGCAGATATTGAATATTTTTAGAAACAAATATTTATATAAATTGCCGGAGTCAAGTTGAGAATTTAGTCGTAACGGTTGCAGCGATAAAGACGATTCGGATCAAAGCTCCGAAAAAGAGCAAGAATTTTAAAAATGTTTTATGCTAAAGCTCAGTATTTAAATTGAAAATATTGTATTTATATCATATACAAGTATTATATAATATGTACCTATATGAAAAAAAAGAACTCGATTTGTTCCTAATTGTAAAATTCTAGGTTAATAAGTTGCTGATACATTCACATTTTTTTATATTTATATGCATATTTATTTTTGTTTAAACTATGTGTTTTTAATATGATCACTAATATTGGCGATTATATGAGCCTCTGTTGTCTAATTACTCATGTTAATGATTTTTTGAATTCCTCCTTACAACAGAGCTAAACATTATTATCTTATAATTTAGCATAAATTGAATTAATTTTGTTTGAACTATGAAGTGTTTTGATAAGGCTAACAAATTTAGTAAATAATAAAATAGAAGAAAGACAAAAAATAATCGCTATAACCTTAGTCCCACGATGGGATCTTATCAAATTATAATAATTGACAAATGCAAAAACAGAAAAATTGAAAGCTACTAAAAATCAAAGTTTTTCATGCACATACGGTTTTTTATTTGTAAATATTATGGTATACAAGTATATATACTTAACTCAAAACTCAGAATAAAATAGAAATTAGTCATACCGGAAATTCCATTATGGTCAGATTAACTATAGTAGTACCTACGTCTTTGCCAGATGTTTGTCGTGCGTCTAATTCTATTGGGTTGAGAAATTTGTGAAGATCATCGATTTCATCAATCTTGACTCTTGGGAATTTTTGATCACAAAGTTATATCCAATATAATAAGAAATAACCTCAGAGGCTAGAATCAGAACATATAAGTACTAAGCCTAACCGGCCGATGAATCAAAGAAAGCGGGGTGTTAACTGACAGAGGTTAGGAGGCCAGAAGATGGTTAGTGTCATGCCGATGTCCATTCTGGATAGGTACGTTTTTAACCTACTACAGTATTCAGAAATAAGAGAGGCACTATTCTTATTTTAGGTGGCAAATCGAGCTTACGGACTGCAATGACTGCTTTTTCGACTCTAATGACTTCATTCATTTGAAGAGAGTCAATCACAATAATCGACATATTGTCAGAATGTTCTCTTGAAGTCCCGAGCCAGTTTTGACTCAAGCAAATAGCTGTCAGCCTGATTTCTGCGAAAACATCCCAACAGGAACTGCTTGGGGATGATTGCATTATGTTCTTTAACCGAAAGCCTGTGGAGCTCACTATGGTGGTGTTCGACGGGGACATCAAGAGACAAATGTTGATAGTCCAGAGTGCGGTGTTCTAACTTATCCGTATCTTATTCAGTTGCGTCCTGCTGCATCTAGGCGACCATATTGGGGCTTCGTAATTAATGACCGGCCGGGCGATTTCCTTGTAAATGGCCAGCAATAGTAATGCTAATCGATCGCGGTTGTATCAGAAGTAAATTTTTTGAAAATATTATAATAAAAAAAATTTTAACAACCGGTTTCTCGGAGCGAATTTTGTCCGCTGAAAGAGAGCTGTAAGTTGCATGCATTTGTCTATATATCACATCAAGGTCTGCTACAACAACAACATTCTCAATAACTATTTGTTTTATAGAGAAAGAGAGAGCGAGAAAAAAATAAGCTTTCACGAGCAGGTCAGTGAGCTCTTAAAGAACGTTTTGAGAACATTTGGTGAGATTGCTAAAATTTGAACATCTCAGAAATTTGTGTAGAGATATCTAGCTTTGTATACCGATTTAGATAGCGTATCTGTATTTTGAAGCCCATCTGTTCAGTAGAATTATCTTCGAAACCTTTTGGTACATTTTTTTGAAGAGTTCCTTTACTCGCTTTCGTTAGTAAAACATCAGGCTTTTTCTATGTGAGATGTTAGATAACCTCACTTTCGACACTTGTGCTACAAATATGATTATTGGAGAATCTTCTCCTAACTTTGAAGATAATATTTTCGCATTTAAAATTATAAGAGCCATATTTTTATTGTTGATAGTAATAATTAAATTAAAAATAAAATTTAATAAATTTTTTGCTGTAAAAGGCAAAATATTTTAAATACTTAAAAAAAAAATTAATAAATAATATTAAACAAAAATAATTAATTAATTATTAAAATAAAAATTTTAAAAATTAAATAAAAAAATATTTTTGGCAGTCTTTCGAATTTAAAAAGAGTTCGGGCTATACATTTGTGCTCAGAAAGAGTGTAAAAATTAAAAAAAAAAATTAAATATTTTTACCACAAACTATTTTATTATTTCATCGAATGCATTTTAATTCTTAACACTACAGACCTAAAAAACATTAACACTGAAAAATAAATTTCAACACATTTCAGCTTTTCATATTTTTTTTATTCTTATTCATAACATGTGTCGACAAAGAACAAAGCGAGGCCATAAACTAAAATCATTTAACCGCGAGCTCCATAAACGCACTTGTTGTAATTCAAATTGTATTGCGAGCCGGCAGGACATTCGCCATGAATGGGGCGCTCAGCGAGGCAAAGTTTATTACCAGCATCCCACTTGAAGTTGACCGGGCAGCTTTGACCCATAACGGCGCAAATTGCGGCAACAAAGAGAGCGAGGAAGAATAGCACTTTCATGATGAACTGGGAGGAGAACAAATTTTTTGAAAAAAAATATTAATGTTTTAAAGAAAAGGATTGAAAAACTTGTTTTAAATTATTGTACAATTTTTTTTTTTTTAACTTTTATATATTTTAATAATTCTTAGCACTCACTTTGTATATATTTTCTGTTTGCTTGTCAAGTTTAAAACTCAAACTGAAGCAGTTGTGCTAAACTACAGTTAATTTATAGATTCAAAGCATTGAGAATTCGTTCTAAGCGCAGCTGACTACCGACAGCAGGCTTATCAACTGACCTTTTTGGCATTAAAGGCACCCCTGCTTTGTATGTATATATGTGTGTGTATTAGAAACAAATTTTAATTTCAAAATTTGTTTTAATTTGTTTACCGAGAGTTTCGGATGATTACTACCAGTAGCCGCTGAAATCTACCGAATAATGCAAGAAAAACTCGGAAAAAGTTAAACAGTCACAGCGAGCGAAAAAGAGATTGAGAGAGAGAGAGCTTTAAATTACATATTTGTATCAATGTATACAAGTTCGCTTTTCTACGAAGTGCAGGTTTAATAAACATCTGCTCTTGTATGTATGTATATACAAAAATATAATATATATTCTAATAAAAACAAATAAATAAATTTATTTCTTATCAGAAATTTTTTTTTGTGACTTGAAATACACTATTCGCACAAAAGTTGCATAAGGGAATAAAAGTATTGAATTTACAAATAGTAATTATCATGCGAGTTTCGAAAACGAAATCAAGGGAAAGTGGTAAAGATTTAAAAAGTGTTTTTTTAGACATGTAGGATTTCAAGAAGAAATAAAACGCATATAATTTGATTTTATAGCCAAGAATTTAGCTTTATTTTAAAAATAGCGGTTTACCATTATGTTTTGAAATTTCGGATATGTGACCGCCACGGCTGGCTCGAATAAATTCCAGCCGAGAGACCCAATTTTCGACCACTTTTAGACAAGTCACTTCACATAACCTTACAAAAAATTGCCCAACAGTGTTAAAGCACACGATCTTGGAGGCCACGCCACAGGCCAACGACGCGAGATAATGCGCTCACCAAAAGTTTCCTTCAATGAATTGATTGTTTCGTTGGCTGTATAGCATGTAGCGGCGTCTTGTTGGAACCAATGGGCGCTCCCATCAGCATATTCCAATTTACGTACAAAAATGTCATTAATCATAATTTTATTGTATAATGTTCCTCTTTGACTGTAATAATATTGGCGCCTAAATTTTTTAAGAAGCAAGGATCTCCTCTGTCCACCGAGCATACCACTAAATAATTTCTTGTGGATTATGAACACTCCAAATGCTGCAATTTGTTTTATTAATCCATTCAGTCGGTAGCCATCTCATGCTGAGTCAAGATCCTTCCGTAAAATGTTCCATAAAGTGGATGTTCACAGCTCCAATTGTTCCGCGCGATGGCGGATGAACTCATCCGAGTCTTCAGCAATTACCGACTCTGATGGGCGATTACGTCGTCCGACTATTGGACGCAACGTCTTTTCAATAATAATTACTGTTAGATTTATTATAATGTTTTTAAAGAATGCTTTCTGTTATCAAGTTTAACTTTAAGGAATATGGCTATCGCTGAAGGTTTAATTGTCGTTGCTCCAGATGCCGGAGAATGTTGTTGCGGCTCTGTACTTTGGTAATGATCACGGTTGTATGTGGAGTACAGAAATAAAATAAACCCCAAAATTTTGGGGTTGTTCACTGACTAAACTTTAACATTATCGACAAAAAAAAAAGTCGAGGTCGAGTGAAGGTTAATAGCAGAATAGTTAATAGCAAGGTCTTCACTAGCGGGGAAAGGAGAGTTATCGGGCGATTAGAATTTCTTAAGTTGGTGGGTTTCCACGATTTCAGTAGTGGGACCACTTTTCCGATTTTCCGCATACCAGGTATGCTAAGAGTAAGAGACCTTGGGGAGGAACTTTACTCCCGTCGAAATTTTTCTTGAGAATCAACATGTTTATGCCGCATGGGCCTATGGATTTTAAAAATTTCGTTTTATTGATGACACTTGAATCTCTTCGTCGGTGAAAACAAGTGGTGCGCAGCTGTTTAGTGTTTTGCGCAACCGTCGGGTAACTTTTCGTTGTCCGTCAAAGGCTGCAATATAACTAAAATCAATATATAAAATATACTTATATAATGCAGAATAACTAAATGTACATATTATATTCATAGGACTAGGTTCAGGATCAGCGGTTTTGTTGCGGAAGGGTGATGACCACCGTTTTCCGGTAATCCCAAGATGGACGTACATCGGTCGGAATTATACTTAGCGCATTTGGCAAAAAGGAAAGTGCTTTTCCACCATAACAAAACAGCGGCTTACACCTTCATCATCGCCTCCGCCAAATTGGTATAATTAATCAGGACCCCATCCAAAGTATCTTTGAATTTCAGAATAGGTATTTCATATCCCTTATTCGAAATATATTATATACAGTTTTCCAGTAACAAATGAGAGTTATTACCAAAAAAAAAAACTTAGAATTACTTGCTTTTCTGGAATTTTTTTCTTCCCGCTTCACTAAGCCTCACTTAGTTAACTGACTTGATAAAACCTAAAGTCAAAAAATAATAATAGATTAATCTTTCCTTATTATTGTTTTTATGGAAATAGCAGACATATTATGGAATACGAAGGCAAAACACACAACTAAACTAAAAAAAAAATCGAAATCAAATCCTAATGCATTTTAGAAATGTTTACCCAATTTACCTAAAACTTTTCTTTTTATAATATTTATCAAGCGTTTAATGAGCGCGTGATTGCAAACGCCGGTCATTTATTGTCCCAGTGATTATTTATTGCTCTTAATAGAATTACAGCACTGACCTACTCAACGTTTGTTTGCCTTTTTGGCATTTTGTGCGTAGCTCTAGCACGTCGAGCAACTAGTAAATACTAATTTATAGCAAGCTGGGGTTAGTGCTTGCTGATAAAAGTCGGTTTAAACACGATTACTTTTTTGTGTTGCCTACTTTTAGGCTTAAATAAAATTCATTCAGTTGCTTTCAGTAAATAAAAGCGTAACGTACGACTTTAATTTATACTTGAAATAATATAGGCTATCACACTACGGCTTTTAATAATTAAATCTGAGCAAATTTATGATTTAAAAAATAACAGAATCATTCTTTAAAAGATAAGTGAATAAATATCTAAAATCGATATTTATTTTTATATAATATTTTTGGCATTACGAACATTCCGAAAGGTCAAGATGTGCAGCAACAAAGTTTACGAAGTGTCGGCACATCACAAACCTTTGAGATACATTTAAAATCATATTGTATTGTATCTATAACTCACCGCGCACTCATTTCAAAATACTTTTAGAGAGACGAGTTCCGGCAGATATTTAATTTCGATAAATGGATAATGAGATCCTTATACTCCTATGCCATCTGTCAAAGTAGTGTATTTTACTTGATGACCTAACACCAAAGAAGACATGAGTAGAAACTTTTCATTAAAATTTTTTCGACGGAACAATGTCAAACAATCCTTCACTTCTGACAGATACTACGAGCTTTGATTACGTAAATTATGCCCTCAATTAAATTTTTTTATTTGATTGACTAAATTAAGAGATTTTCTGAAGCACTTAGAGGTATCTTTACCAAGGTTATTAGTTACTTATGATTAGCTTGTACTCTTATAACAATCGTGATCCACTTTTAGCGTCAGTTTTCAGACGGTTCGCTACCTTACCTCACGCCAACCTCTGCTAATGTGATTACTAACGACTTTATAACGAACGTAGAGCCACGCGTTTATAGCTTTCTAGACTTTGGAACATATTTAAACGTGTTTTCGAATGTATATAAGACAAAATCTGGCGAGATATATTAAAATGGTCGAGTAATACTTTTTATAGATTTGTAGAGCTCACCCACAAAGGTGTGTAAACGAGTTGTTTTGTAAAGTCTCTTGAAGAAAGCTGTGCTCCCCTTTTAAATGTTGGGAGCTTTTACTAAAATTTCAAGTTGAGTTAGAACAGATGTTCAAATTGAGGTCTATTAAATCTCGCATTTTATAATTTACGAAGGTGGAGTAACAGGGCTAAGTAAACTTAATAAATAAAAGAAAGCATACAGCCCGCTTTTGTCACGGTTCAACCCCATTAAAATTCTGTGAGGTTGACCTGTACTGAATATGAGTGAAGGAGCGGCCATTGATAATTACTGAGAGGGACATATTTCTTTCCGGTGTTAAATTTTTAATTATTCCTTAGTGCTTATTGCAAGCATGATTTGTAGATATCAGGTTTCCAATTTGTATCAAGGTCTACGAAAAGGCGCGTTGTGCTTTTTGAGTTAATAATAGCAAGGTTAGGAAGCTGGTAAGTACAGTTTAATATATGATTAATCGACTAGAAGAAATAACGTTACCAACATATGTATTTTAAATACATCCCCGATTTGATCGAAATGCCGTAAGTTTCGAATGTATTGAAAGCGTTCAAATTTTTTTTAAATTATGGAACACTTACTCTCCCGTAAAGCTTAGTTGATTATTCTTTAAAGCCAGAAAGCATCTAAAGCATTCTCTAGCATTAAGAATTCGAAATTAAAACCTGGCCTGGTCAATTTTTACGAAGTTTTTTTATATATATAAATTTTGTGAATATCTTACAGCCAGACTACTTCGCTCGTTGAAATGCTTTACAACAGCTCTCATTTGTTTATACTCATTAAACTCGGCATGCATAACAACAACAAATAATAATACCAGATGGGCTTATGTGGATTAAATTTGTAAAGCAATTCTCGGAATGAAAGGGAATGAAGGCAATCGGCTAAATTTACCATGAGCTGGACCATACATTTGTATGTGGGCGTGTTTGTGTGTGTAGAGTTATACCCTTGCGCCTGTAAAAATTATCGAGGTGAGGTTAGTCGAGTTGACTTTATGTTAATAGAAATGAGTACTAACTGTACTAACGCATAGGTATATATACGTGTGTGTGCCTGTGTGTGCGACGGTGCGCAAATTCGGTATTGGTGTTTACGAAAATTGGTGCAGCACAAAACACTTTCTGGAAATGAATTGGCGAAAATGGAAATATTGCAAATCTCTCTCGTTGGGAATAAATTTACCTTATTGTGTGTGGTATTTCGCCGAATTCGCGCAGATCGTGTGTACCGCAAAATCAAAGTTCACACTTGTTTATATACATTTTTACACACTCTAACACAAGAGCTTTGTAAATGTGTGTATATCCACAAAAATATGATTTAGGCTTGCAAATTATGGGTAGAAGTGAACGAAAGCATATAAATATATATTCGTATGTATATGAATTGTTGCAGCAAAGAAATATATGAGGCCATTGAAATAGATACTTTTGATCTGATCTGTTAATAAAACATTTAATAATTAACAAAAAAAAAAGAAAGTGGAAAATTGTTTCCGCTTTCAAAAAAACTACCTTGTATAATTATAAATAAATTATATAATAGACTATTTTAAGTGGAAATGGTAAAAAATAATAATTCGGTTGCACCAAAGCTATT